TTTCAAAAGGAATTTTGGTTGGATCCCTGCAAGCAATCTTAACTCTCACATTCTCAAAGAAAGTCATGAACATGCCATTCCAATCTACATCAGTAAGAACTCCAAACATTGAAGCTATCTAGCAAAAGACTTTCCAAGTACACCATTTAGGTGGAATACCCTCAATCAGGACCCAAGCTTCAACTAGTTCTCCAAAAGGATCACAAGCCCCTTTCCATTCAGTTACATTTACATTCACACCATCTTTAGGGAGATCAAAGGCTGGAAATTCAATCAAGTCCTCAGCACTTTTCCATGGAGGGAACCTAACCAAAAAGGTTTTGCTTGGTAACTCTCTCACCTGCCATGGCCATTGCCTATTCTTACAGAAAACAACAGACAACAGGCCACAAAGCTCATTTTTCTGCACTTCTTTGATGATGTTCACAACTGCACAGTTCTGGTAATTCAGCCATTTGGTTTCAGCAACAGCAGGTACCTCCACATGGTAAAAACCAAGACCACTAGCTCCACTTCCAAAGAAGGTGGCTGAAGGTTGAATCTTAGCCCAAGCAGCACAGTTATTAACATTGTGATTTTGTTGGCAAATGAAAAAAGCCTTGGTCTTCACACAATTCCTCACATAGTGACCAGGGCCCCCACAATTAAAGCAAATCATATCCTTATATCTAGGGTCAAGCGCATGTTCTATTTCAGCAACCACAACTGGAGTAGGGATCTGAGAAGAGGAGGCAGTAGAAGCAGTAGATTTGGTTTTCTGCACAGGAACAGGGTCTTTACCAGAATTGGTCGTGCCTTGCTGGCGCTGAGGGGCCGGAGCTCGCTGACCCCCCCCCCATTGAGAGGCAGCCCCAGAGCTAGATCCAGAAGGACGCTTATCAGCCATCTCTACTCCTCCCTTAACGATTTCAGCAAAAGATCTAGAACCAGGGCCAATACCCTCGCACGGTAAGCAAATCAGTTTAGGAGGAGGATCAAAAGATCTCACAGTAGCAGGGTGACAATCAGCTTTGGTGAACTTCCCAGCCGCAAGTAGATCTTTCCTCACCCAAAATATAGAGGGGAAAGGTTTCAGGAGGAAAGGGTTAGGGTTACTGCGGCGGCGAGGAGGGGAGGGGATCGACCACAACTGGCCATATTGCTCCTCTATATACTCTAGGTTATTGCAAGGCTGGGAAGGCGCATTCGCAGAGTTCATTTTCCTCACAACCACAGATCCACAGATGGAGGGTTCGCAAATCTTCGGGGTAGGAACGGGGCCCCTCTGGTTTTGGACGCCTTTTCCAGAAGCATATGCTCCCAACTTTTCCCCTTTCTTCGAATTTAAACTAGGTTGGGCAATTCTACCGCCAGGGACCTCACGCGAGCTAACCGCACCCTCGACCACCACCTGAATCCCTGATACCAAATTATCCTGAGGGAGAACCCTCAATTCCTTTACCTCACTAGTTTTTACTACTAAATTGTCAACAGAAGAGGAGATCCCCGTACACAAACCACTAGAATTATGAACTGCAACTGAAACAATGTTTCCAGTCGAGACACATCTGTGTCGCGAACGAAATGCACGCAGAAATCTCATAGAACGAACAGAAAGGGTACCCGGAATCATACCTTGGTCGCCAGGCCAAGGTGGGGGCTCGATGCCGTGCCGGCCAGCCGCACGAGTTCGGAGTAGGCCACCAGGATGCCGCCCAGCGCCGTGCATCCCACGGCGAGCAGCAGCCACGGACGGTACTGTCGGTGAGGAGGCAGGGCCCCGGGCGGAAGCAGCCTGGCGGGGATCCTGGATATCGCCTCCATGCGTGGCCTTGCGATGTTGAAGCGAGGAGGATTGGATCTGAACTCCCTCCACCGCGCCGCCTGCGCCGGATCTAGCGAGTCCGCTTCCTGGATCGCCCAGAAGAGGAACTCCACATCCGATGCGCCATCGTCGCCGGTGAACCTCGCGAATTCGTCGTACCTGGCGTGCTGCAGGATGCTCTCGAAGATCTCCGCCCACATCGAGCGGTCGGGGAATCTCTCCCGCACCACACGCTCCATCTCCTGGTACGCCTCCGGGGAGTTCGCATCGACTGGAGGCGGCGGAAGCCGCAGCGGCGCCGCCACCCTCGTCGCCGGCAGTACGCGTCGGATCTGAGCACCCCGACGGCGAGGCGCGGTCATCCAGTCCAGAGGCGAGTGGGAGAGTGGATAAGCGCGGGGGAGGTGCGATAATGTGGTGATGGAGGTAGGTGGGATAGGGAGAGAGGCAGGCGGGGGAGGGGGGAGGGGGAAAATCGCCTCATCGTCCGCGTCAACACCCTGTAGCCCGTGGGGGACGTCCTCGCGCTGCCCCTAGTTGTGGTAGCGTGGTTTCTCTCGGTTGGGACACTGGTCGAACACCTCGTGGGCGCTGGCTGGTATAGTGGCCGAATCTCATGGCTCGCCTGCTGCTTTTATGTGATGCTGCAGTAGTGCAATGTTGCCAGATCCGGTTGCTTTGCACTGGCTTTGTCGATGGAGGCTTTGGCGTGGCGTTCCTTGAGCTTTAGCCGTGAACGATTGAGCTAATTTGTTGGACACTCTGCCTTTGAGTTGGTATCCAAGTTTGGAGATGCAAAGGCTATTTCAATGTGCAAGTCACTTATAGAGAACCTGAAAAGGGCCAATGAAGCTTTGTTGGCTGATAAAGGTGATGATCCATCAGCTACTGAAGTTGGTCCAGAAAAATCCTCTCTAGCCAAGGATATAGAGTTCTCTACTAACATATTACTGAAGGTAAATACGTTAGATTTCCTTCGTATTTACCTACTTGGTTTTTCCTCATGAATCTAATACGGTGGTAGAGTAGGGAGAACTCATTTCGAACAATTATATCCTTGAATATTTATTTTTATTCAGCTCGAAAACCTGGAGCAAGCAATATCAACCCCAGTCTCAGAGGCAAGTGGTGAGCAGACTGTTGCCAATGATGTGCCAAGAGCTGTATCTTTGACTTCTTCATGATTTTCTGAACCAAGCAATGTTATGCCTAGAGCAGCAACAATCGGGACCACTGGTAGTGCTGGAGCCGACCTTGATAGCAGCAACAGCGGCAGCTCTGTATCAGAGGAGAGTACAGTTTCGTTACCCTTATCTGTGCTTAATCCTGGAGCCTTTAAGCTTGCGATAGGGTCCCATGTTACTTAGACGGAAACTGCCGCATGCCCCTTTTGTTCTGCTTAATGCAGACTATGCTCTTCACTTTGGCATGTATGACTGGTTTCACTAGTCAATTTTCGTTTAGCTGAAGTCAAGTGCACTTGAAGTGTGCAGAGGGGACTGAGATCCAGTGCCTCGCCTCTGTCAAGGCACGACGCGCCTTGAGGCCTGGAATCCAACGTCCAATGTGCATCCAACGGCTATCCAGAGTCAACGCGGAAACTACTAGGCCTCCACTAGTCCCCTGACAAGGATCTACTGCTTGTCTGTCTGCATGTGACACTAGCACCTTCCTGGAAAAGCCTGTTAAACAAATGATACTAGCACATTCTCGGTTAAATGCAGGTGCTAAAGACTTCTAGATGAATATTTTTTCAAGATTAGACTTTGCACTTGCAAACCCCTAACATCTTTACAAGCCTTGTAGTCCAACAATAGATTTACCAACTTAGAACAGTCAGTTGGTTTTACTGCTGCTGCTGATAGTTTGTCCTCCACTCATACACCATGTATTCACCTACTATAAAACCTATAACAAAATGTTCTCTCAATGACAGATTTCCATCTTGAGACCTGACGCTTTTCAAGTATTTACAGTCGCCAGCCATCTCCCAATGAAATGTTAAATAATCTGAAGTTGTGTGCATGGTTCTTTTCTGATCGTGCTTTTTAAGTTTTTACAGTTGCCAGCCATCTCCCTATGAAATGTTAAATAATCTGAAGTTGTGTGCACGGTTCTTTTCTGATCGTGCTTTTCAAGTATTTACAGTCGCCTGCCATCTCCATATGAAATGTTAAATAGTCTGAAGTTGTGTGCATGGTTCTTTTCTGATCGTATTCCGTTGAATTGCCATCGTCAGCTAGGACTCAGTAATCTAGTTATGAGCTACTTGATGATGATACCAGGAAATTTTACGAATTCATCAATTTATCTGTTGGTAGATCTGATTCTCTGAAGTGCTTCGTTGTCACTTTTCCATTTAGTCGAGAAAAGATTTGCGGTTGTGGCTCAGACTAGCTTCAGCCTTGTGAGGGCCAACTGAAAGAAAAAAAATGAGTTGCCAAGTGTCACTTCACTGGATTGCATGCATACTGAAACTGCAGTAGCTCTGTTAGATTCTGAGAGTGATATCTGGAGTAGGATTTAACAAATATATGCATCACCTTATCTGCTATGGTTGGCGTCTTGCAGATCTGATGCTCTGAAGTGTTCATTTTAAATTAGAAAACGCATGTCCATTGTTTGACATGGCGACTCTGGTAAGTAGATGGAAGCTAGAGATGAAGATATCCCACTTGGAGTTGGTCCAATTCTAGGTATCATATGTTTATGAGTCTCACACTTGGCAATTCTAGGTAAAAAATTTCGAATATGTGACTGACTGCTGTTCGTGAAGTAGCATCGGAAAGTGAAACATTTTTTGTTTAGGGGCTATAGCCACCTCGGATTGATGTTGTGGTCAAAGCCATGTCAGGTCAGGTCTGTCATGGAACATCCATAAATCGATTTTCCCTCCTATGCTCTGAGTTCCAGTTATAAATATAAAAAATAATAAAACTTTGTAAAGATAAAGTTAGCTTGATATGCTTAACTATAGGATATTTAAAAATAAGATTATAGAATTTATTGGCTACTGTACATATTTTTTCGGCAACTGTAATTGTTGCTTCATTTCAGAGCCTTTGTACAGAAATTAAATTCCCCACTAATGATTGGTATCTAAGGAGTCTCGCACATCAAGCCACTTGGTCATAGACTGCATTAGTCGTTGGAATGATATGTCGGCCGGTACAAGTGTACCAAGTAGTAATTCAATCTAGACCCTCTTCTTCCGAGCAGAGGATGCAGACGACGGTGGCGCTGAAGCTGAACATGAGCGGAGACCGCGCAAAATGGCAATGACAGCAAATACGACGTATGGACCGTACAGCTGAAGCAGCCTCGGCGTTGCTCTTCCGGAGCCCAGCATCTCACCAAGTATCGCAGACTGCGAAACAATTGCAATCACTATGAGGAACGAAATCATGAAGATAATGCAGCCCGGACGGGATAAAGTTTAGCCATCACCATCACAGAGTGATTTATGTGCTAGTGACTCAAGTTGATGACACTGAAAAACTTAGCATCGCATCGATGGATCCACGGAGTTGGCCTCTGCGTCTTGCAGATCCGATGCAGTGCAGAGGCCGTGCAAACCATGGAAAAAGAATAGAGCAGAGCAGGGGAGGCTGCGACAGACGAGGGTTACCATGAAGGTGAGGGTGGAGACGCCGGCCATGAGGGAGGTGGTGGCGGCCCAGCGGCGTCGGGCGAGGACGCCGTAGATGGTGGCGACGGAGAGCGGCCAGAGGAAGGCGATCTCGAGCCAGAAGATGCCGCGGAGGAAGGCCGGCGGCTGGGCCATGAGGTAGTCGTCGAACTCGGCGGCGTACCACCGCTTGAAGTCCCGCAACGGCGCCGGGTAGAGGTATCGCGGGAGGACGGACTGCGCGCCGATCAGCGGGGCCGCCATTGCGATGGTGAGCGAGAATAGGACGACCACCGCGTCCGCCACCGCCGAGACGACGCCCATTGCGGAGGTGGATGTACCGCTGGCCGGGGATCTCGAGGTGGTATAGTAAGTCCGTAGGTTGACTTTGAGAGGAGAGCTTTGGTGGTTGCAGCAGAGAAAAGACAAGCACTCTTCAACTTTTTTTAGGTACACGCGTGTTGCAACGGAGCAACAAATTACATTAACAGATTCACTGATTGTAAGGTTGCTGTTGTGCACCTTGCTGAAATGTGAGATGGGCCTAAAGCCCATATGACAATTTCAGATTTAATCTCTAAGAACCCATGTAGGTGGCATGACAAGGTGGTAGTTCCACCATGCTAGTGGAAGGAAAGTTGGAGTGGTTTATAAGGGTGACTCTTCTACATGCTATTGGGGCTTGAGAAGAGAAGAGTCCCTCGCGCGCTCCTCCTCCGCCGCCTCGCCGCGCCGCTGGTATCGTGGGCTGTCACGGACTCGGACGTGGGTCGAGCCCACGTCTCTCCACGCGGCTGCGTCTATATAAGTGTGCGGTGTCCCCTAACCCTAGCCGCTACGATCAGATCACATCTGCTCCACGCGAACCGCCCACCGTCATTCCTTTGCTGCTGCTGCCGCCGGTGACTCCATCCCGTCCGCCGCGTACACGGTCGACGGGAGAGCAGGTCTCCGAAACTCCGTCTCTCTGGTTCCTGTACGGGAGAGAGACGAATAGGTTTTTGAGAAGCGACTACGCGGCTGCTTGCCTCCGATCCACTACTTTCTCTACGTCCGTGCCGTCTCCGTCATCACCATGTCCAGCGCTGCCGCCGAGAAGACCGAGGCCGACAAGAAGGCCGCCGAGGACGCTTCTGCTGCTGCCACCGCGGCGGCGGCTTCTGCATGGCCTACTGGAGGGTATACCGCATTTATCCCTCTCCTGATAATTTTTGTATTAGCAGTGCTAGCATCATGTGTAGATTTGTCTACTATTTGCGTAGTACATGCTTGTTTAGATCAGTATTAGTATGTTGTTAGTTCTGTCAATACCATGCTAGTTATCTACTTATGGATTAAATTAGTCGAAAAATGCCTATTTTCTTAGCAATCCAAAAACCTATTATGTGTAGGAATTTTTTGGCAAGTGGCTTTGCCGCAGCACTGAAATCGGATAAGTTTACCGGTACATATTTTAAGCGTTGTACGCGGCTGCGTCTATATAAGTGTGCGGTGTCCCCTAACCCTAGCCGCTACGATCAGATTACATCTGCTCCACGGGAACCGCCCACCGTCGTTCCTTTGTTGCTGCTGCCGCCGGTGACTCCATCCCGTCCGCCGCGTACACGGTCGACGGGAGAGCAGGTCTCCGAAACTCCGTCTCTCTGGTTCCTGTACGGGAGAGAGACGAATAGGTTTTTGGGAAGCGACTATGCGACTGCTCACCTCCGATCGACTACTTCCTCTACGTTCGTGCCGTCTCCGTCATCACCATGTCCAGCGACACCGAACGCACTGCCGCCGAGAAGACCGAGGCCGACAAGAAGGCCGCCGAGGACGCTTCTGCTGCTGCCACCGCGGCGGCGGCTTCTGCATGGCCTACTGGAGGGTATACCGCGTTTATCCCTCTCCTGGTAATTTTTGTATTAGCAGTGCTAGCATCATGTGTTGATTTGTCTACTATTTGTGTAGTACGTGCTTGTTTAGACCAGTACCAGTATGTTGTTAGTTCTGTCAATGCCATGCTAGTTATCTACTTATGGATTAAATTAGTCGAAAAATTGCCTATTTTCTTAGCTATCCAAAAATCTATTATGTGTAGGAATTTTTTGGCAAGTGGCTTTGCCACAGCACTGAAACCGGATAAGTTTACCGGTACGTATTTTAAGCGTTGGCAGACAAAGACCACTTTATGGCTCACGGCTATGAACGTGTTCTGGGTCACCGGTGTGTCCACGGGAACGATTGCTCCTGAACAGGAGAAGGCGTTCAGGGAGGCAACCACTGTGTTTCTCGGAGCAGTTCTTAGCGTGATCGGAGATAAACTGGTTGATGCATATTTACATGTGCATGTCGCCAAGGACTTGTGGGAGGTGGTCGAATCTAAGTTCAGGGCCGCCGATGCAGGGAGCGAGATGTATATTATAGAGCAGTTCCACGATTACAAGATGGTTGAAAACCGTCCTGTACTGGAGCAGGATCATGAGATAATATGCATTGTTAAGGAGCTTGAGCTTCTGAAGTGCGAGTTACCGGGCAAGTTTGTCGCGGGCTGCATAATCGCTAAGCTCCCCAATTCCTGGAGGAACTTTGCCACCATTCTGAAACATCAGAGGCGTGAATTCTCTGTGGAGGATGTCATTGGCCATCTGAGTGTTGAGCAGAAATCAAGGGCAAAGGACTCGCACGGAAAAGGGGCCGAAGGGACTTCTGTTGCCAACATGGTGAACCGGAGGAACTTGAACTCCCACAAGTTCAAGGGAAAGAACGATGTCCAACAGAATACCGACTTCAAGAAGAAGGGTAAGAAGACCTTCAAGAAGAACAAGAAGGATGAGGGATGCTTTACTTGTGGTTCGGCTGAACATTGGGCCAACAAGTGCCCAAACAAATTTAAGAAGTCAGGACAGGACTCCAAGTCTGTCAACATGATTGTGGGCAACAATGAGAATGGTGCATCTGGGTACGGTAATTTATTTACTGTTTTTTAGTGTTTCAGCCTATCGATTGGTGGGTGGATACAGGTGCAGGTGTTCATGTGTGTGCTGACATTTCATTGTTCTCTTCTTACCAGGTCACAGGCCACGGGTCCGTATTGATGGGGAATGGCGCGAGTGCTTCTGTTCATGGTGTTGGCACGGTCGATCTGAAGTTTACTTCGGGAAGGATCGTGCAGCTGAAGAACGTGCAGCATGTCCCCGCCATCAAGAAGAACATTGTTAGTGGCTCCCTTCTATGTAGAGAAGGGTTTAAGTTGATATTCGAGTCTAATAAATTAGTTGTTACTAAGTATGGACTATTTGTTGGAAAAGGTTATGAGAGCGGAGGGATGTTTCGCCTTTCCCTCGCAGATTTCTGTAATAAAGTCATGAACCATATTCATTCGAGTGTTAATGAATCTGAAGTTTGGCATTCACGTCTTTGTCACATAAGTTTCGGTGTTATGACGCGGCTAGCTAAGTTGGATTTAATCCCGAGTTTCACTTTAGCCAAAGGTTCTAAGTGTCTGTCATGTGTGCAAGCTAAGCAACCTCGCCAGCCTCACAAGGCTACGGAGGAGAGACACTTGGCACCGTTAGAACTCATACATTCTGATCTTTGTGAGATGAATGGGGTGTTGACTAAAGGTGGAAAGAAGTACTTCATGACATTGATAAATGATTCCACTAGATATTGCTATGTATATCTGTTAAATACTAAAGATGAGGCTCTACACTACTTTAAAATCTATAAGGCAGAAGTTGAGAATCAACTTGAAAAGAAAATTAAACAAGTCCGGTCAGATCGTGGTGGAGAGTACTTCTCGAGTGAGTTTGATTCCTTCTGTGCGGAACACGGCATTATTCATGAGAGGACGCCTCCCTATTCTCCCCAGTCAAACGGGGTTGCCGAGCGGAAAAACCGTACTCTAACTGATCTGGTTAACGCCATGTTAGATACATCGGGTTTATCCAAGTCATGGTGGGGGGAGGCTATATTGACGGCATGTCATGTCCTGAATAAAGTTCCGACAAAGGATAATGAGATCACTCTCTATGAGAAACGGGCAAAGAGAAAGACAACACTCTCGTACTTGCGTACTTGGGGCTGTTTGGCGAAAGTCAACGTGTCGATCCCCAAAAAGCGTAAGCTTGGACCCAAGACTGTGGACTGCGTCAATTTGGGGTACGCTAAGAACAGCGTTGGCTATAGATTTCTAGTAGTGAAATCTGAGGTACCTGACCAGAAGGTCGGTACAATTATGGAGTCTAAGGATGCTACATTCTTTGAGGATATTTTTCCTATGAAAGATATGCAAAGCACTTCTAGACAGGAATCTAAGGAGACTCCTGAGCCTGCCATTCCTATGGAATATTATGAACGAACACATGATGAAAATCCTGAGGAGGATGACGAGGAAACCCTTGGTAGGGGCAAGAGACAAAGGACTACAAAGACCTTTGGTGATGATTTCTTCGTGTACCTCGTGGATGATACTCCCACTTCTATTTCAGAAGCGTATGCCTCTCCAGAAGCTGACTACTGGAAGGATGCGGTCCGTAGCGAGATGGATTCCATCATGGCTAACGAGACATGGGAGATCACTGAGCGTCCCTATGGTTGCAAACCATTGGGATGTAAGTGGGTGTTCAAGAAAAAGCTTAGGCCTAATGGTACGATTGAAAAGTATAAGGCTAGGCTTGTGGCCAAGGGCTATGACCAGAAAGAAGAGGAAGATTTCTTTGATACTTATTCACCTGTGGCTAGACTGACCACCATTCGAGTATTACTCTCGTTGGCGGCCTCGCATGGTCTTCTCGTCCATCAAATGGATGTTAAGACGACTTTTCTGAATGGAGAGCTAAACGAGGAAATCTACATGCAACAGCCAAATGGCTTTGTGATAGATGGTCAGGAAAGAAAGGTGTGTAGGTTGCTAAAATCTTTATATGGCCTGAAGCAAGAACCTAAGCAATGGCATGATAAGTTTAATACAACTCTGACATCTGTTGGTTTCGTTGTCAATGAAGCTGACAAATGTGTATACTATCGCCATGGTGGGGGCGAAGGAGTTATACTGTGCTTGTATGTTGATGACATACTGATATTCGGGACCAACCTCAAAGTCATTGAGGAGGTTAAGTCGTTTCTGTCTTAGAACTTTGAGATGAAGGACCTTGGTGTGGCTGATGTTATCTTGAACATCAAGCTACTGAGAGATAATGAGGGTGGGATCACACTTCTGCAATCCCATTATGTTGAGAAGGTGTTGAGCCGTTTTGGATATTCAGACTGCACACCATCTCAAACACCATATGATCCTAGCGTGTTGATTCAAAAGTCCAAAGGCATGGCTAAATATCAAT